TCCTTCTATGAAAACTGAGTAAAAATACTTATATATTCTTAGGGATACTGTAAACTCTACAAAGTACACTAAAATCCAAAAAGGGCAAAATTATGTAGAATAAATCAGTAAAACATAAAAACTGTTTAGTGACTAAAATTAATCATTTAACATTGAGTATCTATAAATACCATTACATGATTTTTGAAAAGGATTTGTATGTATTCACAATAGAGAACTATCAAAACTTTCTTGAAAAAAAGTCTTATTTGTGTTTCTAGGGCTGAAAATATCTTCACATTAGTACATATAAGTCACATTTACATATTATAATTACACCATCAAAAGTAATTTTAAGGAAAGCAGAAAACTGATATGTTCAAATTCTTTCTGCAGATACAATTTTCAAGTACCAGCTCTTTAACAGTATGTTCAATTAATGAAATAATTATACAGGCATTTAAAATGCACCTGCAATCCTGGAGCCTTACAATTCAGCCTACCTTGAAAGAGGAATGGTCATTGTCTAACAGTGGTTTCTGTTTAAGAACAAAAACAAAGCAGAGAATATAGTCAATACCCACTCCTACCCTGCAAGCCAGGTGGAATTTAAGTGGCAATTTGATGTTCTGTTTAAGAGACAGCAATTGAAAATTTAGCCTAGTCACAAAAGAAAGACAATCAACCAAAAGAAACCAAACAGAAAGGTGGAGGACCTAAGACACTTGCAGCCTTCTCTGCTCTTGCACTTACTCTCACACTTCCACACCGAGGGGAAAAAACAAACAAACTATGAGGAATTATCTAAAAACATTTATTTTTAATTATATTAGATATTAATTAACATGGGTATATGAACATTTGAAGAAAAAAAATGAGAAATAGCAGCAAAGGAAGTTTTGAGATGAGGGAGATAAGTCCTTCATCTCCCTGGCTCCTGAAAAAGAGAGAGAACACATTAAAAGTGTTGAAAAAGTTCTCCACTGCCTTAACTGTACCATGTTGGGAAACACATGCAATTTTTTACTGTTCCTCACGCAGTCACAATTTTGAATATGTGGTTAGATATTCAATTAAAATATTTGAGTATAGCAAGTGCCACACATACACCAACATATTTAATTTTTCTGTTTCCAAATGCTACAAACCCCACAACACTTTAACACTTACAATTCCTTTTTCAACTTCTTTTATACCATTGTGGTGTTTGGCTGATGCAGAAAGGTTTTGAAAATCTTTTCAATTACTGTCCTGTAGTAAAGAAAAACAAGTATCACAAAAAAGGTGCTTACATACTCGAGAATAAGCTGATAAATTAAAAATAATACTAGCGTAAATGAGAACACCCACACAGAGACTCAATTGACCTCTGCTCAGGATTCTCAGAATTTTCAAAATGTTACTTAAAGCTGCCCACCTCAAGGAACAGGAACTCAGGTTTGAAGAAGTGTTCAGTACTGAGAGTTACCTGTTAATTTAAGATTCTGTGCCAAAAATTGCTCATCAGCACATTGCCAGCTAGGTGTTAAATTTTTTTCAGTGGAAAGCATAGGGTTAGCATTGTTCTCCTTGAAACATGCCAACTTTCAATATTTTTCTCTTACAAAGTGTTTCAAAAGCACATATGTGGTAGGCATGGTTCTAATCCTATACCTTCTTACACTGCAGTCGATTCCCACAAGTTCGACTACAAGTCATAAAACCTGTGACCTTGCTATATCAACAAAAAGATAGGACCCATATTTTTTCCACACATATACTTCACAAATTCCACCCAGAGCGACTGCTTTATGCTTCTGAAAAATGACAACCTGATGACAACCTTTATCTTACTATTATATTGCTATCTCATTAGAATTTCAAATATGTAATGCAAATCAATTACTTACAAGGATACCCTTCAAGAATTCTTCGTTAAGCCTGATGCTTTTTGCTCTCATCTTCTAAAATACAGTGTCTGGTGAAGATCAGAAAACCTTCTTCCTAAATAGAAGCACTGCAGATGCTGGAAACTATCAAAGAAGCCGACGTTGTGAGTGCTGTAAAAATTGCTTCGATGGTATTTCCATTGTTTCCTGCAGACAAATCTCCATCATCAACTCCACCACAGTGAAATAAAAAAATGATTTTTGAACCCAAACGTCTTTGTGAGTGGTTTCTTCAAACATAACATAACACTGTAAGCTAATCCACTGTTTGGCATTCATTTAATATATATTTGCTCTGCAATTTCATTGTTTCAGATGCCATTAGAATGTGCCACCTTTGAAACAATGGACAACAGGAATGGGATGAAGTGTGAATGCTTATTGCAGATAGAGCCAATATTTCTTTTGAATGCCATCAACTGATATTTTTCTATTCAAATGCTGCTAAGACTTGATGCCAGGTAACCATACTCTGTGTTGATGATATCACAGTGATTCTGTATCTGAGAGGTGGTAGTAGCATCTAAACTCTTCAAAGGAGGAAAATCCTACATTTGTAATTGGTACTGCAGCCCACATCAAAACCCAAAGATAAGTATCAACACATAGAGAGGGATTATTTTATATTGACTACCATATCGATTCTAAGAATAAACACCGCCCCCCCCAGCTCACACCTGACATTCGTCTGACACTGTCAAAGTAATATTTATTAATGCAGAAGAATTATTTATCTTGTCGTTCCATTTCACTATGAAAATTTAGCCTGCTTTATTCTTAATTTTATACTTTCTCTTAGAGGATTTTTATATTAGGTTTTTAAAACTAATCACTGTTCACTTTACCTTTCACTGAAAATCCAAAATTTTAAATCAAACCCATTTCCTGTCAGTAATAAAAGCTTAGGAGCATGAAACTTTTAAATCATGTATCTAGACATTTACAGATCTTAGTTTATGGATGTGTTCCTTAAGTATCATATAATTTTAAAATTCTCCATCCACAAGAAGTTATTGATAAACAAGTCAAAACAAAAACCAAAGGAAAACCCCTTTAAAAACAAGCTTTTCACGAGCCACATAAACTTTTTATGAACAGAATTAAAGTTATTATCTTAAAATACTAATTTTGAAACTCTGAGGATACCTATTTTCTGTAGTGATGATGAAAATTATAACCAAAAATATTTACTTTTTATTTTTTTATTTTCAGTGTATTTTCAAGTCTTCATTTTAACTTGCTGCATTAATATTTTGGTTACTCTTCAGTATTAATGGGCTGACTACACATCACCTAGAATTATATTTTAAGTACTGCCTCCCAAAAATTACTGCTACAACTGTTGGTTTACATGTTGCCATAAGCTACTCATTCAGCAATTCTTAAAAATCTACAAGTGACAAACGAAAAAAGAAAGCCTCTTTCCCCTCCCCGATACCCCACAAAATCCAGAAAGTAGTTTTACCATTGAAAACACGCCCCCTCCAAACATATATTTTGAATTGGATGTTATGTCTCTAAGTCAGGCAACTACTGTAAGCAGAAAGTCAGTGGCACAGATGAAGTACAATTTACATTTTAGTAATTTGTGTTATGTAACTGCAGTAAAATGGTTATACTGCCCAGGCCATACTGCCCATGCCCGTGAAACTAAAGATTTTATTACCTGTCTCTTTAGACGCAAACGTTATATTGTCTATCCTGAATATAAAAAATACAGCCTATGTCCTTCCTTTCTTCTATTCTCCCAATGAACCAGAACCTCTCTCAAAAGACAAGCAACAAATCCAGTAAAACAGAACCACAAAAGCTGTTATTTTCATCGTAATGCCTCCCTCATCTATGACCCAGAAAACTGAATTTTTGGTTGACAGAAGATTCTACAATAATAACGTAAAGATTTTTTATATGTTGCCAAAATATATTTTTCAGAAAAATACCAGTAGCAATAGGGTTGATTCTCTCATATTCTCTGAAAAGAGAACGGAAGATATCACTAGCTGGAACCCCTGTTAGCGACCTGAAAGGAGGTCAGGAAAGAGCAGAAAAATAAAGAGGGGCAAATAACCTGGTTTTACTCTGTTTAACATTAAAAAGCAAAAGCTTCCCTGTTGAGAGAAGACACTGCCTACAGCCTAGCCTTCTTTTCCATGACACTGAACTTTGTTGAAGAGCAGGACAGAGAGTGTTTTATCAGCTATCACCCAGGGGCTCGGGGAAGTTTGAGACTCTTCCTTGGGCTAAACACCATGAAAACGTGTAAATGACACAGTCCCTGCTCAGGAGAGCTTACAATCTAAGAAAGCAAAATGACATATAGGAGTATGGAAAAATACAGCTAAACACAAACAAACTTTGTATACACATATATATACGGTTACATTTATAAAAACTGTTAAAATAGCATCACTATTTCTACCTACCCCTCTGCCTAGCCATCATTGCTTAGATGATTGCTTAATAGGGATCATAGGGGAAGTGGGTCTTTAGGAGAGATTTCAAGGAGAAGGTAGTGGCCTTATGAATCAGTTCAGGGAGGGCACTCCATGCATACGGGACAGCGTGGAAGATGTTCTACTGAAAACTTAAAATTGTGCAGAGCAGCATTTCTCCAGGTCAAAAGTCCAAGTGTTGTGTGCAAGATCCCTATTTCCTGAGACAGAGACAGTGTGGTTATGGGAGTAACACTTGGCCAGTAAGAAGACAAGCGAAATCACTAATGTGGGACTACACTGAGGATATGTTACTGGCCACATAGTCTCTGTGGCTGCCAGTTAGCACAGTAACTGTGAGGAGATGATATGGAGGGGTTTGGAAAAGAGTTGGATACAAAGAAGGAAAAAAAAGCAAGATGAAGGAAAGGAGACAAAAGGAAGAAATGTGAGGGATATTTTCAAATGTAGTCTTCTACTGGAGTTCTTAGTGTGTTTGCAATTTATTAACTAAATAACTAAAAAACATATACAATAATTAATGTACATTTGACACCATAAAATAAACTGGACCATATGCCAACATTTACATTATGTTATTATCCTTCACTATGGAAAGGTGAGAAACAGGTTAAACAAGAGACAAAATGCTTCCCCTTACCCTTCTTCTTCCGTACTGAAGCTTGGAAACAGAAAGGGAATGAACTGTGAATCAATTCTGAAGGTAATTTTTATATGCTAAATCCTTGTCTGTCATTTTGAGCATAAACATTTTTCTTCCATCTAAGAAATTAGTCTCTCCTTGCTAGCCTCTACTATGCATGTACCTATCATATCACAGTAGATAAACAGCTTGGCAAATGCACAGTTCATCAGGGTTTATACCTTAACTACAAGAAGTTGCTCCCCTGCAGAAATTAGGATTACACGTACAATTTTTTTTTCCTAACTCATTTTTTAAAAACTGTAATTGGGGCAACTTATTGACACCAGGGCTTTCAAACTACGATAATAGGGCATTTTCAAATCTTTGCAGATTGAAGTGGAAAGGAATCAGTGGCACATGTTATCTGCCATACTTTGGATTAACTAATTTGAAAGAGAACCACTGAGATGGTCTGCTCAGTATTGTGGAGAACAGAGTAGCTAAAAACATGCCAATAAAACCATAAGTAGAGTTCAGAGCCAGGCAAAGAAAGTGACTGTAAAGACCACAAGGCGTATATTTTTTTTTTTTTAAAAATGATGTTTAGCTTAGCTAGGAGAAATTACAAAAATATATACTCGAAGGGAAAACAAATGGGGAATTTCTATTTATCTTTTTCTTCTAATACATAACAAGGGACATTCAATAAAATTAAAGGCATCACATTTAAAACCAATAAAAAGGAAATACATTTGTACACAGCACATAATTAGCCTGTGGAGTTCTTTGCCACAAGACATTATTGAGACCATGAGCTGCTTCAGTTCAGAAAAAAGATTACATATATATATTGATGAGAACAGCCACAGTGTTCCTCTATACGTACTTCGTATTTAGTTTGCACATATATGTTATGAAACAAATGCTTATTCATTAGGTAGTTTAACGGATATAAAAATGTGGGTGTTCTCATAGTTCATACAGATGTCCAATATATACACATATACATATAAAAATATATAAATTATATATAAATACACACATACAATTTGCGTTTTATGTCAGAAGACAACTTTTAACTGATGATAGTGAGAACATTTTCTCTTTGGAAGCTTGTTCAGTTGTACAATTTAAGAATTCTTGTTTCTTCTGATAATGGCCCTTTTACAGGACAAATACTAAAATAGGTAGACCACAGATGTTCTTTATAACAGTAGTCAAATTGTTTGCTAGGGTGGCAAATGTTCAGAGTATCACAGAACTGGTATTTACAGTCTCGTTTAGGAAGAAGATAAATTTCTGCCATGCTCTAGTATCACTACAGCTTCATCGAGGGACATACACTTCTGGAACATGCTTCAGGACTATTCTTCAGAATAGTAAAGTCTTGCCACTGAAATATTTGCCCCATCTGGATAAAGATATGGATGGGAAATGTGCTTAAAGATTCACGTATGTCCCATGGCTGCTAGTCACAAGAGTGCAGTGGTTTCTGCCAGCTGATGAGAACAAATAGCAGATCAAGCACTATAACCTGAACAGGGGAGTGAGAAGGCTAAAACATGATGGTCTACATAGTAGAGGTGACTTTAACTATTAATAAGCTCTTTTCCCCTAGAAAAGAGTGCTGCTTCTTTCTGCTTTAAGAACAGTATCTACTACTTAAGATTGACAAGTAAGAGAAATAGAGAACAGCCTCAGTTTGAAAGTGATTTGCAAAAGGGGATAACGAAGGGGGAAAAATGGTGCCTAAGTATTTCTGTTCCCTTGGGAAGTTTGTCGATAAGCCAGTAAAGTTTTACAACCTCTCAGCACTCCATGAAAGGAAAACAAACCCACAAAGTGGCTCCAGAAATAATATTTTATATTTTAATCCAGAAGAAAAATTATGGAGCATTCACAAACTGTTGAAAACTTTAGTCAGGCTCCTAAACTTTCTGGCACAGAAAAATCATATTTTCTGAGATCTGTTAGAGCTAAATAATCAGACTTTTTCATTTTGGTCTTCAGCTGGTTGTTATACCATAGAGAAGACAGTAACCACTTCAGCACCCCTTTGTTGGTCAGAACCTCCACTGAAGCTAACTTGACTCACTAAAGAAGGGATTGAGGCCATCTAGCCCAGAAAACATTGACTTCCAGGGGAAAAAAAAAGTGGCCACATGACTTTGATTCCTCCCAGTTAGCCTTCAGATAAGTCCATGCCAGAAATAAAAATGATCGCAAAATGTATTTAAATCAATGTAGGGTTACATGGAAAAATGGGTTTATTGTATGATAGACTCTATTACTCTGCAATGAGGGACATGGTTTGTGTTTATACCCAATTATCACTTGCTAAACGCACTGTTCTAGTGTAATAGCCATATATAAATACGCACTGGGCTCTTCTCTTTGTATATATGGTCCATTCATAACATATTTATTATGCCTAGCTGCAGAAATTATACTTTTTAATGACCTAACATTAAAAGCAGGAAGAAAAGAATTATTAACTCCCTCACTTCTATAAAATAAATCAAAATTCCCGGAGAATTATGCATATCTAGAATGTGGATGATCAAGCAAAGGAATCTACAATCACAGTTCTTAAAATTAGCAAATAAAAGACTGAATGCTCAATATTTTTTTATTACCAATAATGAGAAGAATTAAGTTTATATCATGCACAGAAGTCAAAGTGATATCATAGTATGTGCTTTTTCAGATCAGAGTCTAATGAAAACAAGTTGAAGTTGAAGCTGCTTTAACACTGTCAGCTTTTTAACAACAGCTTCTGGCAGCTTACCTTTATCCACTATTGAGAGGCCACAGAAATTTAAAATAAAACAATATTAGATGAACTGAAAATTTAGAAAGCAAAGCTAACAAAATATGATACGGCATTACTTTTAGTAGATGTGCCAAACTTTGATGATGCATAAAATGTATCAACATTCTCTTGCGTAGCAGTAAAGGCACAAGTTTAAACAAAAATTATTCATGCGAATCATGCATATTTGAACTCTCCAAAGATGCAGCATTCTTAAAACCTTTTCTGTTCTATATGCTGTACACAGTGCGGTTCCTCTTAGTCAATTTAACATATACACAGATATATATTTTTTTTCTTTTTTACATTTCTATTATGCCAGCATGCTTGTCAAAAAACACTTTCTTACCAAGCTCTTCAAGCTCTGAGGTCATTGACTTAGACCGCAAGGTCAGTGCAGTGGTTGGAGCTCGCTTAGGAGGTGGTGGGGCTTTGCATTAAACAGAAGGATACACAGTGTAAGTAAACACACATCTCTCAAATGCTATATTCACATACATAACATTTATTTAAAAGAATATACTATATTAAATAAAGTAATATTAAATACATACATGCGGAGGGAAAAAAATCCCTGAGATGCTTTTCATGTACTGAATTTCTATACCGTTTCAACTTTTAGCGTAGGTTGTTTGACACACCAGCAAGCTTTTATGTAACAGCATACACAGAAACATTTAAAG